AGGGAGAGAGATAAAAACATTGATGAGAAAGAACAGTGGTTGACCCCCTCCTGCATGCCCCCCCCCCCCCACTGTGGAGATCAAGCCAACCTTGGCATGTGCCCTGACTGGGAATCAAACTGGTGACCTTTTGGTTCTTGGGTCAGTACTCCACTAGAGCCACACCATCAGGGCCAAATTCTTGATTATAGCTTTATTTACTTTTACCTTATTAGTATCATAAAGATTAAGGAGAACCAACCAGTGAAAGGTCTTTTCTCTTTACAATGCTATTTGTTTCTGGAGAGATATTCTATCATCTCTAATTCTTTTTACAGTTTGTCTAATAGAATTAGTTCCCTGGAATTGTCAGTGTGTCTCTCACCTGGAATTACAGTCGGCCCTCATTTATCGCAGTTATTCAGTTCCAGACTCTACCATTATAAATGAATTTCTGCCAAGTAGGATTCTGTATTTATATATAGTCATCCTTTGTTTCGAGGCTTCACTCAACCGCGAATGAGTGAAGCTCGGAAAGTCGAAGCAGGAAGTGGTGAGGGACCACTGTACTGGGAAATTCCTTCTGCTTACTCTGTTTTCTGTCTTGATTCCTACAGCTTAGTTAGTTGTATTATCAATACCAAATCTGTGTTAATCTTATTTATTCCTGGAAGACTTCCTTACAGCTTTTTTCAAAATATCATTTATCATTTTATTTTCCGTGTATCATATTTAGAGATTGAGAATCTTATAGCCCTAGTTAAACACTACCTCCTTTGTTACTAAAGCCCTCATACCAGAGGTTTTATGTCTTAGAATATTGTCATTAATTTCCCAATCAACTGTCACCCAAGGGTATAAAGAACCATATAAAGTCATATAAAACCTATCCTTCTAAATATACCTCCTCCTTTCCAAAAATTCCATTGCAATTTTCCCTCTTTACAAGCAAAACTCTGACTTGTTAATAGAAATGTGATGTTTTTAACTTTCTTTCCCTGTTTATTTTAAAAGATACATCAGGAATGTACTGTAGTGAAAAGCCATCTGGAGCATGTGATCAAAGTCAGACCGAGCTGCATTCAGTCCCAGATCAGCTCCAGGCCCTAACCTGCGTTTGCTGGTCTTGTGACCCTGAGCAAGTTAAGTCCAGTCTGGGAACTTCAGTTTCCACCTTTTAAAATGGGCATAGTTGCCCTGACCAGTTTTGCTCAGTGGTTAGAGCATTGGCCCACAGACCGAAAGGTTGGGAGTTTGATTCTGGTCAAGGGCATGTACCTGGGTTGCAGAATGGATCTCTGGCCCCTGTCTGGGTCATACAGGAGGCAATCAATCTATGTGTTTCTCTCACATCAGTGTTTCTCTCTCTCTCTCTCTCTCTCTCTCTCTCTCTCTCTCTCTCTCTCTTTCTTTTCCCTCTCCTCCCCCTCCCCTCTTCCCTTCCACTCTCTCTCAAAATCAATGGAAAAAAATATCCTCAGGTAAGGATTAACAAAAAAAAAAAAGAGAGAGAGAGAAAACCAGAGATCTATTTCTAGAATGTTGTTAATCAGAAATATGAACTTTTGAGATTTGAGTGTCATACTAAATCATATTAATTGAAAGTATATTTATTCATAGTTTCAATTCATGTAGTCTTATACTTACATAAATATTAAAATGAAAACCGCAGCCATTCATTCATTTAATCAGGACTATTATTCTTCACTATTTAAATAAAATCTTTATTAGATATACTTCACATACCATACAGTTCATCCATTTAAAGTGTGCAGTTCAGTGGGTTTTTGTATATTCACAGAGTTGGGCAGACCATCACCACAATCAATTTTGAACATTGTCATCACCCAAAGAAAAAACCCTGAACCTTTTAATGGTTGCCTGTCATCCTGCCCCGACTCCAGGCAACCACGAATCTACTTTCTCTCTTTCTATAGATTTGCCTATTCTGGACATTCCACATAAAATGGGATCATTCAGTATATGGTCTCTTTGTGACTGGCTTCTTTTACTTATATAGTACTTTCAAAGTTCATCTATGTATAGCATGTATCAGTACTTTATTCCTTTTTATTGCTCAATAATATTCTATTGTATGACTATACCACATTTTATTATCCATTAATAAGTTGATGATTTGGGGGTTGTTTCTACTTTTTTTGGCTGTTATGAATATTTATGTACAAATTTTTTGTGTAGATATATGTTTTTATTTCTCTTGAATATACACCAAGGAGAAAAATTTCTAGGTCACATGGAACCTTTTTATATTTAACCTTTTGAGAAACTTTTCCAAAGTGACTGCCGTATTTTGCATTCCCACCAGCAGTGTATGAGGGTTCCATTTCCTCCACATTCTTTCCCACACTTGTTATGCTCTGCCTTCCTTATTATATTATAGCCTTTCTAGTGGGAGTCAAATGGTATTTCATTGTGGATTCTTAGCAGCTTCTTAAATTGGAATATATAAAAATCATATCACTCATGCTTTTGCAATATCTGGTCACTGATGAGAGTGTTTGAGAAGTTAAGCCTCCTATTGCAGAATTGTCTGCTTATTGAATGCCTAGTGAACAGAGCTTTCGTAGACTTTTTCCTTATTTCCACGATTTCTAGTTCATTGTCCCCTGATTTTCAGTTTTCTGTTTTCAGCAGTTCACTTGGGCTTATCATGTATCTGCCAGCAGCCCCTCCCCCCCCCCAATAGATATTATAGCACAGTGGACAGATCCATAACACCTTTTCTTTTTGTCTTTTCTTTGCCCATCCTTCTCCTTGAGAGATTTTTTCCTAGCAGATTTTTAGAGTGTTTCTAAAATAATCTCCTTTTGGACATTTATGTATTAAGTTCTCAGGGTTGATTTCTTGTTTGTGTCTTTTCATCTCTTATTTCTTTGAGCATCTTGTCCCCTTTATTATTTCTCTTTCTTCTCCTGAAATGCTAATTTTATGTAGGGTATAGACCTCCTGAGTCTATTTTCCCCTGCTCTTTTAATTTTTATATCTTCCACCTCTTTGTGTTCTTTACAGTTCTGTCAACTTATCTTTTAGATTACAAGTTCAGTTTTCATCTGTGTTTATTCTGTTATTCAGCCTATCTGCTTAATCTTTTATATGAACAATCATATATTTAATTTCCAAGAACTGTTTCTGTTCTCAGGTTTCTCCTTTTTCATGGCAGACTCTTCCTTTATGAATGTAACATGCTTTTTCATCTATAAAGATACCAATTAAAATATCTTAAGTATCTTTTTCTATTCCCTAAATACTCTTTTTCTTTGATCCAGAATTGATCATACATTTTTGGTCTTTCTCTTTTATAGGATTGATTTTCCTTAGATGTTTATCATTGGTAGTAGGTACATGTTTATGAATAAAAGACTAAATAGACTGATGTACGTTGTGGGGGTTTTTCTGCAAGAATGGTTTCCTCTGAATGATATAACTGACTGTCAGTGGGTGTATTAATAGGGTTTACCAATAGGTGGGCTTCCCTGTAGGGGAGGAGGAGGGCAAGCTCAGACCCACAAAACTGCCAGAGTAAGGAAGTTGTCGTTCTAGGGATGAAATGTACTTGAAAAGGGAGTGGTTTGCTGTATTTAACCTCCAATACCTATCATTTCTCTTTGTCTCCCAACAATTTCTGGGTCTAAAGTTTCCTTAAATTCTAAATTACCTTAATCTCAACTTTTGTCCCTCTGAAGCCCAAAGTACCCCACTGGGAGTCTTCTCAGGCAGATCATTAATTTTATAAGGCAATATAGCAATTTTCTAAAATATAGCAATTTTCTGCCTTTAGCTTATAAAGGAAGCCTTGACTGGTTACGAGGTGTGATTAGTTGTGGAGTGGGTTGGGCAGTGCTGAATAGCTGGATCTGGTCATCTGAATGCAGCTCTTTAATTACCTGTCTTCCATGGTTGCCCAAGGGCCCACTTTTTATTCTTTAACTAACAAGGAGCTTTCTAGGTAGCATACATGTTTAACCTCTGATGTCTTAGACCCAGTTTTCAAAATTTTCAGGATGTCTGATCTATGATGACTTTAATTCTTGAGTTTGTTTTTTTGTGGGGTGGGGAGTTGTTGCTGTTTTTTTTTTAATGTTATGGTGCCATGAAGATTTTTATTTTATTGTCATTTCACATTTAGAGGGAGGCAGATTTGATGTAACTACTTACTGGGCCATCTTGAATGTGTCAAGTAAACTATTTCCATGTGATTTTTCACTTAGAAGCCTCAAACTTAGTATCTCCTAATCATATATATTCCCACCCATTCTCTCATCCTGCTTCCTCATCTTGCTCTGTTCCTTACCTCAGTTAATGGTAGCCTATACCACCAGGTACCATATCATTATTCCTGCTTCCTCCCTCAATACTTATCCATTCCTAATCCTGTCTGTTTCTATTCACCCCTCTCACTTCATTTCCTCTTACTCTTTTCTTAGGTCAGGCGTTTTGTCCTGGTGTGTACTCCTGTTGGTGCTCTCTGCTTTCACTCACCCCTCCATCCCAGTCCATCCACCCCAGTCCATCCCACAAGGTTACCCTTTCTCCACTGCCTACAGAATAGTGCAGGTGCTAAGATATAACATTCATGAATTGCCCCAAATAATCCTGAATTAACTTTGTAATATCTCTCAATATATTTTCCTTATACCCTGAGTTCCACCTACAACTGGGTTACTCAACACTGTTCCTCAGTTTCATGCACCTTCGCTCTGTTGTATAGTATATGGTTCTCCTAAACTTAGATGCCCTTCATCTCATGTTTACTTCTCAAATTTGCCAACCTAAAGTTATGCTCACATCAAATCTCTGTACTCTGGGAAGTCTTTGAAGATTTCTTAGTCTGTTTTTAATTGAAAGTAGATTTTATTGTATTCCAACTGTATTCTTCAATCTCATATCCTCCAAGACAGTCATTGTTGTCTTTGCCCCTTTTTTCTCTGGGCCGTAGTTGGGTAGATCAAAGAGATCCAAGCCTGAGCGAACTGAGGGTGACTAAGATCAGTCTCACTCACCTGCATCTGCAAGTGTTTCATCCATGGCTGTGTGGAAAGAAAGCACACAGCACCTTACTTTGGTTTATGATAAAGTAGAATAGGTCCTGTATTTCATCTCTGTATTGCTGGAAGTGTCCCCTGACCAAATGGTCACTATGTTGTTCAGGCCTGTTTTATAATTGCTTATGGTACATGGCTTAATCCATGAACGATGCAAACAAATATATTTTTACATGTGTTCATGGGTCTGGGTGTGGAGTAGTATGGAAATCTTAGATAGTAATGACAGGAAAACCCAAGGTAGATGAAAGTCTAGTTTGCATAAATGACATATAAGTTGTCCCAGAGCCAATTTCTGGTATGTGGCTAATCTGTCGTATAGTTCTTCCTCATCACCCAGTGTGTGTGTGTTTTAACTATCATTATTAAGAATGGACTTTGCATTGCAATAAAAGATGGATAATTGTATTTGAAAAGAAAATCAGCAACACCCATATTGCTGTCCTATAAAAATACAATAGTTATCTGAGTTCACTTTATTATTCTTTTAATAATTGCACCCTGGCCCTGGCCAGGTGGCTCCGTTGGTTGGAGTGTCATTCTGTACACCATAAGGTCACAGGTTCGATTACCAGTCAGGGCACATACTACCCAGGTTGTGAGTTCAATTCTTGGTCGGGGAACGTGCAGGGGTCAACCAGTCAGTGTTTCTCCTCACATTGATATTTCTCTCTTTCTCTCCCTCTCTCTCTCAAATCAATAAAAAAAGAAAAAAAAATCACTCTGTAACACCAACCCCCCCCAATAATACAATTAAAATGGGCAGAAGACCTGAATAAATATTTCTCCAAAGAGGACATACAGATTGCCAACAGACATAAAAAGATGCTCAAGACTGAGATTCCAAAATGGCGGCGGAGTGAATGGAGCTACACAGACCATCTCCCATGACCAAACTGGAATTACAACTAAAACACAGACAAAGCGACGGGAAAAAGCAACAGAAAAGCAGCTTGCGAGGACCATATAACCAGGGACACTAACTCGATGCTGGTAGGATTGCGAAGGCGCAAGACAGGCGCTGGGAGCCCACAGTCAGCAGCTCGGCAGCAGCCTCAGCTGTGAGCAGTGCCCTCGGGTTACACTCCCAGGCGGCCCCACAGCGCAGAGCCGGGACAGAGGCTGAAATAGCCACAGCCACTCACCTTGGGCTCCGGCAGAGGGAGGGCAGACTGGACTGGAGCTGTGTGGGGACACTCGGGATTTGGAGGGCGCTCAGAGCTTTGGCTAAGTGCAGCCACGCAGGACGGTGGCCACATTGCTCCTTCCCAGGGCTCTGGGGAGAGGCAGCAGCCCCTCCCTCGGAGATCCAACCCCACCCTGTGGGCCATTGAAGTGCTAATTGAGGCTCACTAACAACCAGCCTCTGCTCCACCCTCGGGAAATCCCCTTATGCTGAGCACCTGAGGAAGCTTTTCAATCAATTAACTCAAAACTCATCAAGTAACCTGGACTGCTAGCCTCCAGGCAAAAAGCTAGAGGATAACAGTACCTTTCCTGGGCTAGCAACTCTAACCAGGAAAGTAAGACTTGACAGTGGTGTTTAACGTGGGTTCTCCCTCACTCATCTAAACCCAGGAAAGGGAGCCACAAACAGCAGAACACCAATAACCACAAGGAAAACTTGGCACGCTCCAAAGCCCACTGTGATAGCCAAAATGGTGAAACACAGAAACAAAAGCCAAATGTAAGAACAAGAGACCTCCACCGAAGATGTTATCAGTGTGGAGAAGTTAAGCAAGTTAACAGAGCTAGAATTTAGAGCCATGATCTTGAGGAAGCTCAGCAGCATGAGTAAGGACAATAAAGATAAAAAAAAAAAGTTAAAGGAGTTCACCACCAAACCATTACTATATGAAATGTTGAAGGGTCTTTTTGAAGAAAAAGATAAAATATATGAACAAACAAAATGGCAATGAATACATATCTATCGACAATTGAATCTACAAACAAAATGAACATGCAGAACAGAAACAAACTCATAAATACAGAGAACATTTTGTTGGTTGCCAGATGGGAGGGGGGTTGGGGGGAATGGGTGAAAAAGGTGAAGGGATTAAGAAGGACAAATTGGTTGCTAGACTGACAAACCTCAAAGAGAAGGGGGTTGGGGAGTGGGAGGAAATAAACCAAAGAACTTATATGCATAACCAATGGACACAGACAACAGTGGGAAAAGGCAGGAAGGGGGCGGGAGTGGGGAGGAGGGGGTCAATGGAGGGAAAATGAGGAACATCTGTAATACATTCAACAAAATTTCAGACATCATATGCAGGAGAATTTTCACTGATACATCACCTAAAGCAACAGAAACAAAGGAGAAAATGAACACATGGGACTACATCAAACTCAAAAGCTTCTGCACAGCAAAAGAACCGTCAAAATGGAAAGACAATCCACTGTATGGGAGAACATCATTGCCAATGATAAGGGGTTAATTTCCAAAATATATAGAGTACTCATACAACTCAACAAAAGGAAGACAAAGAACCCAAATGAAAAATGGGCAGAGGAGCTGAATAGACACCTCTCCAAACAGGACATACAAATGGCTAAGAGATATATGAAAAAATGCTCAGCATCACTAATCATCAGAGAGATGCAAATTAAAACAACAATGAGGTATCACCTCACACCTGTCAGAATGGCTGCCATCAACAAATCATCAAACAACAAGTGCTGGCGAGGGTGTGGAGAAAAGGGGACTCTAGTACACTGCTGGTGGGAATGCAGACTGGTGCAGCCATTGTGGAAAACACTATGGTGTTACCTCAAAACATTAAAAATTGAACTTCCATTTGACTCAGTGATCCCACTTCTAGGAATATACCCTAAGAAGTCTGAAACACCAACCAGAAAGAATATATGTTCATAGCAGTGCTATTTACAATTGCTAAGATCTGGAAACAGCCCAAGTGTCCATCAGTAGACGAATGGATAAAAAAGCAGTGGTACATATACACAATGGAGAACTATGCAGCGGTAACAAAGAAAGATCTCTTATCCTTTGAGAAGACATGGAGGGACCTGGAAAGTGTTATCCTAAGCGAAACAAGCCAAGCAGAAAAAGACAAATACCACATGATCTCATTTATTTGTGGAATATAATGAACATAACAGTCTGAGGAATAGGGTAGACCCAGAAACATGGAAGTAGGGTACAGACTGAAACCTTCAGAAGAAAGGGTTGGGGGAAGAGATAAACCACAGAACTTATATGCATGTATGCATAACAAATGGACATGGACAACAAAGCCTGGGACAGGGCGGAGGGGATGGAGAAGAGGGTGCCAATGGGGTTAAAAGGAAGAAATATCTGTAACAAAAATAAAATAAAAAATAAAATAAAATAAAAGCCTAATACCTTTATCATTAAAAATGGGGATCGTACAAAAATAAATAAAAATAAGTAAATAAATAAATAAAAAGATGCTCAAGCCCTAGCTGGTTTTCTCAATGGTTAGAGCATCAGCTCATGGACCAAAGGGTTGTGGGTTCAATTGCCAATCAAGGGCATACCTGGGTTGCAGGTGCAGTCCCTGGCCCTGGTTTGTGCAATGGGAGAGGCAACCAATCCATGTGTGTTTCTCACATCAATGTTTCTCTCTTTCCCTCCCTCCGTTTCATTCTATCTAAAAATCAATGGAAAAATATCCTTAGATGAGGATTAATAAAAAGATACTCAGCATCACTGGTCATCAGAGTAATGCAAATTAAAACCATGAGGAGATATCACCTCACACCTGTCAGAAGGGCTATCATCAGTAAATCATAAACAAGTATCAAGGATGTGGGGAAAAGGGAACCCCTCATGCACTGTTGGTCGGAAGGTACATTGGTGCAGCCCCTGTGGAAAACAGTATGGAGGGTCTTCAAAAAATTAAAAATGGAACTGCTTTATGACCTAGTGAATCCCACTTCTGGGAATATATCCGAAGAAACCTGAAACACTAATTCGAAAAGATATATGCATCCTGTGTTCATTGCAGCATTATTCACAATATCCAAGCTGTGGAAGCAACCTAAGTGCCCATCAATAGACGATTGGATAAAGAAAATGTGATACATATATACAACGGGGTATTACTCAGCTATTAAAAAGAATGAGACCTGCCCTGGCCGGTTTGGCTCAGAGGTTAGAGCATCGGCCTGCGGAGCAGAGAGGCCCGGGGTCGGTTCCCACTAAGGGCACGTACCTCGGTTACAGTTTGTCCCCAGCCCCGATTTGAGTTGTGTGGGTGGCAACCACTCCTTGTGTCTCTCTCACATCGATTTTTCTCTCTCTCTCCCACCCCCTCTCCCTCCAGCTCTATCTGAAGATAAATGCAGAAATGTCCTTGGATGAGGGGAGAGAGAGAGAGAGAGAGAGAGAGAGAGAGGAAAAGAAAAGAAAAAATAAGAAAAGAAAAGAAAAGAAAAGAAAAGAAAAGAAAAGAAAGAGAGAAAGAAGAATGAGATCTTACCATTGAGACAGCATGGATGGACCTAGAGGGTATGATGCTAAGTGAGATAAGTCAGACAAAGACAAATACCATATGATTTCATTTATATGTGGAATCTAAGGAACAAAATAAATGAATAAGCAAAATAGAAACACAGACTCATAGATACAGTGAGCAAATTGAGGGTTGCCAGATTGGGGGTAGGATTGGTGAAAAGGGTGAAGGAAGTAAGGAGTTATAAAACAGTCACGTGGATGTAAAGGATACCATAGGGAATATAGTCAGTAATACTGTAGTAACTATGTATGGTGCCAGGTGAAGTATCAGGAGGATCACTTCATAAATTATATAATTGTCTAACCACTATACCGTGCACTTGAAAAAATATTTTTAAAAATTTTACTCTGCCCTGGCCGGTTTAGCTCAGTGGTTAGAGCATTGGCCTGCGGTTCAGAGAGACCCGGGTTCGGTTTCCGCTAAGGGCATGTACCTCAGTTGCAGTTTGTCCCTGGCCCTGGTTGGTTGTGCGGGTGGCAGCCAC